GCTTAACCTTCACTTAAAGTGTTAGTTTGTCAGATGCAGACAGCTTGCTAGAAGATGAAGGGAAGCAAGACATGGAACTGTAAAAAAAAAAAAAAAAAAAAAAGGCAACAAAGGTGACAAATCGGAGGATGATCAGAGTTCTTCACAGCACAAGTAGGAAGTGGAAGGACTGTGCATAAGGGTTTAGAAAGTTATTCTGGGCCCCTTGTTGAGTGTTTTGAAGTGAAGCCAAACAGATATAGCAAAGAGAGATTAAGTCTAAACAGGTTTTGCTGATGGGGAAAGAACTCATTCTCAGTAAAAAGATTTTCCTTGAATTAACATTTATGTCTTATATGGGAAATGGGTCTCTGAGAAGTGCAGAGAAGGATATTGGTTTGGATCAAGAAGATTACCGTTTGGGAGTAATATGTATAGCAGAACAGAATGTGGAGTTCTGGAAATACCCAATTAAAGACTAATGTAGATCATGTTGATATAAGGAGGGAACAATTGGAACAGAGGACAGAGGGGTTTTTAATGCACTGTGTTAATTGACCACACACAATGCTGAACACTTTTGGCACTCACCTTGAAGAAGTCTTTGGGTGAAATCCAATCCCCATCACAGTCAGTGGCAATTTTTGCATAGATTACAATGGGGTGAGTGCTTCACCTGTCAATGTGTGCTTTGTTTAAGCATGTGTTTAACTGTTTTGCAAGATCAGGACCTCAGTGCTTGGCATACCTTACAGGATCCAGGTTATAAAATTTAGGACCCAAGTTTGTGAAAGGCTGAATAAGTCTAGTGCTTACTTTAATGAGTGTTTTGGGTATTCTTCATTTTTCCAGACTGGCTATTTTGGGGGAAAAAAGCAAGATAGGAAGAGAGAGAAGGATTTAGTGAAGGTGGTTATCAGCCCTCAGGCCTTTGAGACCAGAGAGAGGGAGAGAAAAAAACAAAACAAAGGCTACTGCAGCGATAGAAAAAACTTAAGGGAAAACTGTAAGCAAAAAAAGAAGAAAAAATGTTAATGCCTTTTATGTCATGTCAACAACAAATGATTCTGTAAGCAACTGTATTTAAAGATAGAGAAGATACACTCCAGGGAGTAAACCTAAATAGAATGTGCAATTTTGATCTGTAGATATGTTTTCAGAATGTGTTTTAAAAATGATTCACAGATTCAATCTAGTGCTAATGTTTTCCATGTTAAAGGTATTTATAAGCATAGTGGTAAATAATAAAATATCAATTATGGCATGCACCGATCCTTTGTGTTTGCTGCTGAGCTGTCAATGGGAGGGTGAGAGGTTTGTAGATTGTTTTGCTTATCTGATAGGAACAAGCAACACTGTGCTGGGTTGTTTTTTTTTCTGGTTTTGTTTCTTTTTTCCTCCAAATGTCTGAGTCTGTTTTCACATGAAAAAAGATATTTGGGGGCCTAAAGGGACTAAATACACCTGGGTTCTTATGGATTTTTTTACTACATGAGCTCTACATCACTGCTAGAAAAAGCTAAAGGAAAGGATTTGCTGCGTGATTTTGCTTTGTAAGAAAGTCCCTTAGAGTATATAAGCATCAGCTTTTCCAAAGAAGTCACCTGTTACCCAAGTGGATCATGTTATGTTTGCAAAAAATCTAAAAATAATTGGAACTAGCTTGTTATGCTGGACTAGAAACAGTATGTCCTAATAGCTCTTAGGTAGATGTGCTGCAGTCAGTATGGCTGATTTTGAGCCCAATGCTACGTTCCCTGTGTACTGTACCATATGGGGCAAGTGGCCAGAAGATCTGTTTTAAAGACTTGGCAATCAAATTTCAGTAACAAATGGGAAAGGCATGATGGTACGCCAAAAGGGAACCCATCAGGAGACTGGCAGGAAGAAACCTTAATACTTGGTATTCAGATGGTAAATCAATAGAAAAAACGTCCTTTACATGTCAGGCTGATCTAGCCAGATGTTAGCCAAATTATGATGAATCATCTAACGGCATGAAGTTAGAGTGAACTTATCCTTTGTGTCCGCGCTTTGGTTTAGAAGTAAAGCCATCTCAGTTTGCCATATCTTAACCCCCCTTTCCTTCTGAATAAGGCCATCTACATGGTTACTGCATTTAACTTTGCACCTTTAGCTAATTCAGGGTAACTTTCCTGAGTGTCCCGCATAGACAAGCCACCAGCTGTACGGAGACCAACGATGCTACCTGGCTCCCTTTCTCAGGATCCAATGAAGAAGCAACCACGTAGACAGCATTAGGCATCCTGATATGCATGGCTTTAGGCTTGATGAAGCCATTTCACTCTAGGCTGCCCATTTTGTGCGCATTTTGATACGAGAGTACACTTATAGATTTCCATTCAATCCAGCAGCTGGATGGGATGACATTCTCTGACTCCTTTAAATATAGGTTTATAAACTACCCGCCCACTCCAAGGTGAACTGTGCTGGAATTAGAGCGTGTTGTGAGTGCCGAGACCAGATTTTAGGAAGTCAGAAAGCCCACCACCACCATCACTAAAATGGTTTGACTTTCCTAAGGTCAAGACAACAAATGGCTGTGTCTTTTTTCCAGGAGGCTGAAAGTTTCCTTGAACCTAAATGGACCATCAAACTACCATGGTAAAGGCAAGTCAGTTTCTAGTCTGGGAGTGATGTGACTACCATCATGCCCAGCTGCCTTTGACTCCTGGCTCAAGTAACTCCACATACTTTTGCAACTGGGTCAGCAAGAGACTAGAGCAAGCCTCAAGCTGATGCCTCTGAAGCTGTAGCTAGATATTTTAAACCCCTTTCACACTGCATCCCCTCTTCTCAAGAAGGAAAATTGAAGAAAAACCCTTTTTTCCCCCCTCGCTGTGACCCACTTACGAACTGGCTTTGATTGATGCCTTTGAGGACTGTGCAGGACTGGGTTTTTGTTTTTTGTTGTGGCACCAGCGCTAAACTATACACCTTGTGAAGAATGTAGTTAAACTGAAAAAGCCCCAGCTTTCTGTCCAGGGAGTGATTTCACAATGCAGGCCTGAGGGATGCATAATGGGCCGTGGCCTTTCGCTGCTATAAACAGTAGCAGTATGAGCCCCTGGTTAGTGTATGTTAATGACTGCAGCGTATTCAGCTGCTGGCCTGAGGACGAGATACCCCTGCTGGCTAGCAGATCGCTACTTTTGGGACCCTGCTGTCATATTAGCTAGACCCATTTCAAAACACAGCAGGGCGAGGAAAAGACACTGCGTGCTGTCTTCCTCCACAGTACACCACATAAAATGTGTCACATCACAGTGTGTTCCAGGGTGAAGGCGGTTGTGACATCAATGCATTGTCGCCATGGTTGTAAAGCCGACAGCACTGTGTGGTGACATTGTGAGGGTCCATTGTAACGGGGGACTTTGTTGCATAGCAGCACACAAGGATGGTAAGGTGATATGATTACAGCGCATGGCAAGTTTGGGTCATATTACAATGAAGCGGTGACACGATGCTGGCCACAAATGTGGCAGCGTGGTGGGATCCTCGTGTTAAAATATGTTCCAGGCTTGTCCCCTCTGTGCCAGAGACATGGAGGATACCACTCGGTGACAGACTTTCGCAAACGATGTTCTTTAGCTGTAAAAATTCCCCAGGCACGACTAAACTCCAGGCTGATGAAATGGTGACATTTCCCATTGCCTGGTCCGGAAACTACAGCAAAATAGAAAAGCACGGTGTTGAACGAACAATTGCCACTCTGTTAACTGAACGGCATTTTTCATGCATTATCCTGTCTGTACAGGGCGCAACAACCAACAATGCCTCGTGATACCTTTGCAACACAGCGGGTGCGTCTACATGTGCACTAGCTTATTTTAATGCGCATTAAAGCATTGCTGAAAGCACAATGGGTGTTTATACACTTGCTCTGGAGGGCGGGGGTGGGGGGTAGCACTTTAATTAGAGCTGCCCTGATTAAAGCACCTGGAGCGTCTGGTGTCTCAGCATTCCTGCCCTGCAAATTGGCGCCAGAGGCGCTTTGTCTCAAGCTCATCGAACAAGCCCCCGCCTCCGGCTTGGAGTACCCGAGCCGCTGGAGCGTGGTAATTACCACCGACAAATCGAGTCTGTCTGATGTGCTGTAATGACATCATGTTGGAGCAGCCTCGCTGCTTGCTATAGGCACCTTGTGCAAGTTAGTTCATGCACATTAAAATAGGCTAATGCGCATTAAGCGTCACTTAAAAACTGTGCACTTTTTAATGTGCATTAGGGCAGGGTGATGCTCACTACGGGTTAATGAGAGTACAGCGCTGGCTGGCAGGCGGTCATTCCCACACTCCTCCGGCCTCCTCCGTCTCCTGCGTCAAATCAGCTCTTCCAGCGCACTTCAGTGCGAGTGCCTTGCTGCCATTTTGAAATGTGGGGGCACTGATACACAACACACTATGACGCATTAATTAAAGTGGCTCTAATTAAAGTGCCACCATTAATGCGGACGAACTCAAGGGCGTTAATGCTCGTGTAGATGCACCCTGGGTGATGCGATTGTCTATTTCCACGCCCCTCAAGGCATCTCCTGCAACATGTCATTGCATGGACTGGGCCTCCCCGTGACATCACCCACCCCTGTGCTCGCCTCCCGGTTGGTGCTGTGGCTACATGCCCTTCACAAAGGGGCTGCATGCGCTCTGACGTCATACCCCCTTCCGTTACATCACTGACGTCACACCAACGCTCTGTGACGTCACTGGCGAGCGCTGTAACGTCATCGCCCTGCCAGGCGGCGTCACATGGATGCGGTGACGTCAGCGTGGATGTGAGCGGGCTCTTTCCCTCCAAAACGGGGGGTCGGGACAAACGGAGCCCGCGCGCTGTGATTGGCCGCCCTCACTTCCGACCTCGCTCTTCCTCTTCCTGGCGCGGGAGCAGACGCCCTGGAGCCCGAGCCGCGCTCTGATTGGCTGCGGCGGCCGTTAGGGGTGGGGGGGTAGGGCGGGGCAACCGTTGTGATGGGGCGGGGCCACCGCGCGCCCAAATATGGTGGGAGGGTCCGGAGCGGCCGGGCCGCGCGCACGGTAACCGGGGCATGAGGGGGCGGGGTCAAAGGTCATCCCCCGGCTTCCGCCCTGCTGGGGGAGGGTCGTGGCCTCTTCAGGGCCCTCCGCCCACCCTTCTAGTGGGGGGCACATGTCTCCCTCTACAAGGGGGCAGTCACCGGGGGGCACGTGTCTCCTCCCCCGCTTTGAGTGTTATGGGGAACGGGGATCAGCTTCACCTTTTATTCCTCTTTTTTTTTTTTTTGGAAAAAAGCCCCTTTTGGGATGGCTGCTCCCTGGGGGGTAGGTAGTTTGCTGTAGGTAGCGGGGGTTGGGGGTTTAAGTCGTGACGGTGGGTGTTCATGCCAGAAGGAAACGCTTCCTTTTCTTTCCCGTGTAGCTCTTCAAAGGCGGGCAACGTGAGGGGGTTGTTCCCCTTGGGAGGTGGGCACCCGGGCAGTCTTCTACACCCAGACTATGTTTTTCCTGCCTCTTGTATTTTGTATTTTTGCCTTGTGCGTTTCTGGGATGCTTTCTACTCCGTGCAGGACGGCTCTGTGGTGACCAGGAGGTCGCGCTAGCCCCACCTTGGTCCCACTCGTCCTCATTTCTGTGTTGCGATGTGAAACCTAAGGTTATTTTCCTTGTCGGGGTGCCTCTGACAGCCCCCACTGCACCTTTCACTTCCACCTCCTTTCCAGGTGTCTCTTTTAATGAGGTAGAAGTGAAAGGTGCAGCCTCTATTTCAAGCTTTACCTTTTAAATAGAGTAATAATATATACACATGCAAAAATGTCACCTTATATTTGCAGGACCACGCAACAGGATTTGGTATGAATTAAGTTTTCAGCCCTGTAAGTGTCTTTGCCTGTTTTGTTTTGTTTGTAATTTTATTTATTTGTTTGTTTCCGTGTTTGTTTAAAGGGCTGCCTCATTTGTCAGAGGTTGCGGGAAGCTATTCATTAGGTCCCTCGGGGTGGGGGGACGCGTTTTGCCTTTCTGTACAATTATCAGGATTTCCTACACGAGTGCTTTGGTCTTGATATGGTAAAAATGTAAACTGTGGTTACACTGATATCAGGGGTTGTGTAGTGATCCAGAGCAGTGTCGTCATTCATTCTTCTTGTTTCCCCGCTGGACTTGTCAATACAGCAGGACCCTTCTAGCTAATGGCTGCATTATGTCGCTAGTCTAGGAGGATTCGTGCTTGGCGATGTCTGAATGCATTGGCGTTGAAACTTGCACTCGGTGTGTTTTGTGCAAAACCATTTTGGAGGAGTTAACAAACGTGTAATGTTAAGTCAAGCCGTGGGTTTTTTTTAACATGGGTCTATAAAGTATTTGGAGGTTTTACAGGCCTCTTCAATTTCCTTTATAAAAAATGAACTGTAAAATAGACATTCGGTGACGCTTACATTTTTCAACTGTTGTTTCAGAATGTGCTGGACCTTTCTCTTCCTACATGAAGCACAATCATGACCGATCCAGAATATGTCCTATGCAGATGGAAGAAGCGTTTGTGGCCTGCAAAGGTGATCACGTTACAGACTCTTGTAGATAAATGTAGCAATAAAAACAAGGCTTTGAAGTTCTCCAACTCTTTTCAAGATAGCAGGGAAAGATAGGAGTTGTGGCAGGGGACATATCAATACTCTTGACATGTGAGCCAAAAGCTGAGCAACTTTATTCTATTTAAAACTTTTTCCATTGGGAGATGACACCTGACATGAGTTATGTAGGCCAAAAGAATTTGAGTTGGTGAAAGGGACAAATTTTATCTCAAGATATTATTTCCAGGCAAACATGCATGTGTGTTCTTAACCAGGGTAATACCTTAGAGTTGGTCGCACTATAGGTGAGATTTGTCTTATAATGGTTATTAAGGGGTTTTTTTTTTTTTTTAATCCAGATAGTAAATAAAGCAAAATATTACAACAGATTAGCTGATAAAGCTGTGTTAGTGGTTCTGAAACTGATGGGGATTTTCTTTTCCCCTTAATTTAGGTTTTATCCAAAATTGTAACTTCCACAAGATCAGGAAAGACGGCCTCTTTTAATGTTGAAATACTTGGTGTGAAAGAACAGTTAAGTATCTTTGTCATAGATATTTTATTTTATATATATTGTGTGTGCCTGAGACACCCTCCCTCTCTTCCCCCTCGCCCCCCTTAAATATTTTAGGTGGTAGACTCTGGCCTTTTTCAGCTTACCCGTCAGCCTCTTGATCTGAACAATTTATAGCCCACATGAGCAGAAATTGCTTGCTGCGTTTAATTGCTAACTGTTTGGGGGAGGAAAAAAAAAAGACTTCTGAAATAGTGTAATATTGTCTCTACTTTTAACACTAACTTTTTTTTTTTTTAATTTTATTTTCAGGACTAAAATAACCTGTACAGATCCTGAACCATTGGAGAGAGAGCGTATACAAATAATTGTCTCTGAATTGAGTAAGGATACTCTTAAAGTCTGAACACTCAGTGTGGGTGATGCATGTTTTTAATGTGTCTCTCTAAATACCTGGCATTAAGTTCTCTGGGAGATTTTTCTGTCTTCCTATGGATGCATGAAATATATTTTTGAGGAGTCAGCCTGCCACTGACTTGCTTTGTGGCCTTGTACAAATCACTTGATCTTTCCATTTCACAATCTTGGAGCCGGCATTTTTCATAGATTTCATAGACACTGGGGGCTGAAAGGGACCTTGTGAAATCAAGTCCAATCCCCCTGCCAGTGGCAGGAAGCCTGCAGGGATCAATTGATCCCAGCAAGATAAACATCAACGTGCCTTTTGAATGAGTCCAGAGTAGGTGCTTGTACCACCTCTGGGGGGAGTCTGTTCCAGACCTTGGACACTTGGGCTGTAAAGAAGTTTTCTTTGTATCGGGTCTGAATGGGCCTTCTAGAAGTTTGTGGCTGTTAAACCTAGTTATCTCTTGGGGAGCCCTGGTGAACAACTGTTTTCCCAGATCCTGATGCACTCCACTTATATACTTATAGTGTGTGTGTGTGTGTGTGTGTGTGTGTGTGTTTAGTATTTGTTTTACTGTCTGGCTTTAAAGCTAGCATCACTTTACGTTTTATTATGTCAGGCATTGGGCAAAAGGCACAGTTCATGATATTTCTTTAATACATCCAGGGAAAACAATCATAATTTCATATACACATTTTTTCAGGAGACTGGGAGGAGAAACCTGCTGATGAATTGGAAGAAATAAAGTATCGCTGTGCTCTTAAAATTGCTCTAAATATTTTGAATGGGGAAGCCTCTTCTAAACAAGTAGGCCTCTCAAATGAGGGACCAATTACTCGATCAGCTCAGAAAAAAATTAAAGCACTACTTTCGTTATCGCCTGATTCAGCTAGTTGTCAGGTGCCTCTCCCCAAAGAATTAAAGGGGCACCAGACCTTGAAGAAAGAGGAACAAAAGAAACAAAGCCTCCAAACTGACCCCAAACCCCCCAAAAGTAAACTTTCTCTCAATTCAGAGGAGGGAGCTAAACCATGTAGAAACAACACAAGATCTTCAGTATCTAAATCTAAGGACCTGTCTAATGCATGCAAGTCAGAAAGCCAAAATCACAAGACATCCCAATCAAAAGTAAAGACATTAAAAAACCAGGAAAAAGTGAATTCTGAATTGTCCAAAGCAGTCAGGAGCTCGTCACTTACACGAGAGGAGAATGTAAAAACCAAGGAGGGAAGAAAAAGGTCAAGAAAGATATGTGAACCCTCATCTCCAATCACTAGACTACAAGTGCCTGCTTTCCTTGGACAGAGTACCCCAGTATCTGCTAACTACACTTCTGCCACAGCAGCTGCTTTTGGAACAAAGGCAAATGGGAAAAAGCGGTGTGGAAGGAGATTACTGGATTCTTCTATGGAATGTCTCTCCACTGAATTGCAAAGTGAAGTCAGTGAAGAGAGTGAAGCTTCAGGAAGGAAATGCAGAATCTTAGAGGGGAGCAAGAAGCTAGTGAATTCAAGACTCGTCTGGAAACGAGCAAGTAATGCAGTTGCATCTCCGTGCAGAAAAAGGAGGTGCAGAAGTTGCCCTGAGCCTTTATGCAAGGCTTCTAACCCTAGAAAGCGCCCTGACCACTCTCCTTGGCCTAGAGAAGAGAAGAATAAGAGTAATTTACGTGCAAAAAATATTGAGCTTCCTGACTTTCAGGAAGATGAAGGTAAAGAATTTCAGTGGGGGGAAACTAGGACTTTGTACCATTTGGTGTATTACTTGCATCTTGCAGTGACTTGGGGCCGGGGTTGTTATTACTGCTCCTTGTATGCTGTCTTTCCCCAGTGGTTTCCTCTCTCCCATTCAAAGTTTCCCTGAAAAGTTGTCTCAAAATGAACTATTCAGTGGAAATCTCACAAGTTTTGCTTTAATGCCACCTTAATTCCTCCTGTAAATTCTCGAGTCTTTCTCTCTTCATCTCCCATTTCATTTGTTACTGTTTGGAATAACTATGGCATCTGTACCTCTTAGTATTAAAGCTCCTACTGGATTTGTTATCTGGGGACTTGCCATTCTTGGCAGTAATTGCATTTTGAGTGCTCCTTTTGGCTTTATTACCTCTTGGTATACACTTGATACCCCATTCGTGGATTAATTTTATAATGCCTGTTTTCTGGCTAATGTCTTGTGAAGCAGTACAAGAACACCTGTTTTGCATGCAGCACACTTTATTCCAGTAGCTAGGTGCCAGACATGTAGGTGCACATAAGTCAGGAAATATGGTAGCAGCAGAGCAGTTTCTGCTGCTTAAGCTTCTACCAGGAGGAAGTGAACACAACTGTGGCCTGGATCCATAGGAAACAAGGCAGTCTCAGCCCCCTAGCTGCTGCTGCTACTTGGTTACTCGCTGCAAGTAAAGACTTGTTTTTCCTTCATTCTTCCTTTCAGTAACAAGGTGCATATTTTATTCCAGGGTGTGCTTGTATGTGATTTGAAAATGTGTTAAACCATTTGTATATTTGAATAATTATTTCCTCACTATTACTGGCTTCTCTGTCTAAAATGTTTGATGAATTATTTTCTTCAGGCATTTCATAATCAAATGTGTGTGTTCTCTTCCCCCACCCCCCATGCCTCCCACCCCCCTATCATGAGTTCTACCCTGATAATAGTTATAGAGCTTAAAGATCCTCATAGTTATCCAGATGTTTATACATATCTTCCTCTCCGTCTATCTCTGATTTTGACTCTTGGCTCTCTCTTCATTGCAGTAAACCAGTGTAAACTTGTAATATTTCAGTTACCATTACACAATCTAATTACCCTGTTCTTTATCTGTCAACTTGCCCTGTCAAACTGTTGCCTTCTAATAAATGTAACAAAATCATTAGGTTACAGAAATATGAAAATCCTATTAGGATATTGCATTTAGGAAATCAGAAGTTGATTATTTTGGTTTTGTCAACTTTATTTAAAACTGTTCTCAACTCTGCAGAATTGGAAGCTTCTGATTTGTCTTCGAAGCTTAATTCTTCAGAAAATAGCCATCTTGTTTCGAATTTGGTAGATGAGGAAGAAGATGAAGATGAAGAACTCCCTAGTTTCCTTTTACATCAAGGTAAGAAGTAAATGCAGCTGTTGCCTTGAGCCTTTGTTACTAAAGATTTAGGTTTGAGAGGAGAGGCTTGAACTTTGGAAGGGCAGCATCCCCTTTTGAATATGTATAAGTGTTTCGTCTGTCTTGTCATGTGCATAATCTAATATAGGCCCTGAAGTAAAATCATATTTTAGTTTTATATATACAGCACAAGAGATTTTACATAGCTATTTCTAGTTTAATTATTTAGACCGAGTAACATTTTATTTTTCTGCCTTTAGAACCAAGTTCAATTGAACCAGGGATGCTGGTTTGGTGCAAGTTACCAAGATATCCATATTGGCCAGCAGTGGTAAGAAAAGAAACTTTCTATTTCTGCAGGTAGGATCTATGTCGATGCTTCTGTTCAGCTGCATAGAAGCACAGAACATTTTCAGCCTCAATTGCCTCGAGGAGGAATTGAGAACACTCCCAATGTTACGTTTAATGTTCAAAATCTTTGAACAACAGAATTTTAAGAACAGTTGCTCATCTTCAAAGCAGAGTAGATTTTGCTTTAATGTGGCAAAGTCTACAGAGAAGGTTGAGCTTACTAGGTGAACTGTGAAGGATTTTAAATACCGTGCGTCATATCTCTAGAGACCACTTAAAAAAAAGCTTCATCAATTTTTTGTTAGATTTTTACCTTTTATATCCGGAATGTCAAAAATTGGTCTCCCATAGTTGTGAAAGAACTTCTTGTAGGGAAAGGGATGTCTTGTATCTTTTTGTGAATTTTTTTTCCTTCATTGAAAAATCAGATTTTAATTTTTAATAAAGACCTCTCTCTCTCTCTCTCTCCTTTTTTTAATCCAAAGAGCTCATTAGGCATTAACATTTAATACAGTTTTGTACAGACCAGCCAAGTCTGCCAAAGCTTTATTCCGCTAACAAAAATCCATTCCCTAAGTAGCCTGGTCTCTTGAATCTTGTGTCACCGTTTTTCTAATCCTCTAGAATCCCAGGCTGAACAAAGCCTAAAAGTTTTAGATGTGGAAAAATAAGTAGGGCCAAAATTAGTCAGAAATTCTTCACTTAATCTTTAAGCATTGTGGGGAGATGAGTCCAATTTTATATCCTTTGCAGAGTTCCTCTTCAGTGACAGACACTGCAGATTGAGGACGTTGAAGCAAATTTGCGGCTACTGTGCTTGCTTAAAGTTAGAGCCACTTCTTTAGATGTCATTATAGGAGATGCCCATTGAATGAGTTTATTAAATTTCAGATAGAAATGTGTCCTGTTAGGTGGGAAACTGTCAGTTCCTCCATAGTCACTGCACATTCACTGTGCCACCTGTAAGAGTGGTCCCTCTGGTGGCTGCTTACACATCCATCCCCTTCAGCCTTTGTTTTCTCACTGTTGCAGTGACCAATTCTGAACGTGCATTCTTGTCCTTAATCTGTGAATTTGAACTTTACTTCCTGTTCTTAATGAGAATCTTATATTCAATAATCTAAACTTAAATCTGAGACCAGCATGGCATTGAAGAGTGAAGTTTAGCAATTAGTATCTTTATGTCAAAGTGCTGTGCTACTGCATAGGAATAAAAAGACAGGACGTGGCTAGGTTATACTGTGATCTAGTCTCTTGTTAACTGATTACTAATTAAAAAAACAAGTAGAGCATGTGCGCTGGTGAGATTCTCTGTAAGTATATGTGGGGAAATGTGTAAAAATGCAAATGAATAAAACATGCTTGTTTTCAAAAGCAATTGGGATTTTAAAATGTCAATTTGGCTCTGTACTCTATAGGTAAAAAGGGTGTTTCGGAAACCTAAAAAAGCAGCCGTGCTGTTAATACATGGAAATGTGGATTTCAAGAAGCCAAAGGGGTAAATGCTGATTCCAGTTTGTTTCCTGAACTACCTTTTGGAATTCTAGTACATAAATCCTATATTTTCTTCCTAGTACTGTGGTGTTAGTTTTATGCTCCCTGCCTGCAGCTGCACAAATGTTGGTTTTGGGGTGGGGGAAACAGTGGGCATGTTCAGTGAGCTTTAGTTAGTGTCCCCACCATCATTTTGAAGCATGGGATGCTGAATACACATGACATTGGGCGCTTTAATTAGAGTGGCTCTGAGAGCAGCTCATTAAAGTGCCACCCCAGAGCACTTGTATAGATGCCTTCCATTGTGAAGTACTAGAAAAAAGCGCATTAGCCTGGTTTAATGTGCATTAACTCAAGTGACACTTTAATGTGACACTTCATAAGCATTAGCCTATTTTAATGTACATTAAAGCATCATGTAAAAAAAAAGTGCTTTTTGCTTAATGCACATTTAAAATAGGCTAATGCTTATTAAAGTGTATGTGTAGATGTGCCCAGTGGTGTGTACTACTGCTTAAGGGTTTGTAGGATATAATGTATAAAAATAGTACTTTTGAGTTAAGTTCTCACCAGTTACCAACATAATGTGTCACTTTTGCATGTCTGGTTTGTCAGTTTTGCTGACACATACGGGCCTTAATGCAAAAGCTGGTCAAATTTTATTTATGGAGACTAAGGCCAGTAGAAAAGGTTTCAGCTTAGTAGCATAAAGATGAAAAACCTGGTAGCTGTATTGTAATTAGAGCTATCTGAGGGGAATCTTTCTACCTCTTTACAGGCTTTAATTCTAGTGGGTCTCACTGGCTGTTGGTAACACATCAGTTTCTTCTCTTTTTTTGGATGGGTGCATGTTGTGTTAAGTGGATTTTGCATAAAATTAGAAACTTTACTGCTTTGTTCCCGCTTTTTATTATATGTAAACAAAATTGCATGAGCAGAATTGCTTGACTTCTTTGTTTTCTGACTTTGCCCCATCAAGTTTTTCAACACATCTTAGAAACCTGAAGCATTTTGACTGTGAAGAAAAGCAGAAGCTAATAGTAAGTACGGTAGTAAAATACTTTATGTGCAGTGTCATTTTTCTTTAATATCTAACACCAAGTTACTGTCAGATTGAATTGCTGCTTATTGATTTCATTCCATGATGCAGTTTTTTGGCAAAAGTATCTTGCTTTTTTAGCATTTTTGTTTTGTTTGGCAGGGGGAGAGGATGTCCTGGGGACTTTTTGGGTGTTTTTTTTTTTTTTTTTTTTCAATTGACTGCTTACGCGCAAGGACTAGAAAGGACGTCATTGGCGAGAGTCCAGTCTCTTAAAGTCATGGGCAACCACAGCCCCCTTTTAAGAAACTTATATCTGTTGATAAAGCTGTACTGCTTAAATGATGGATAAATTATGGA